CGGTGAGAATTTGGTATATTTTGTTTCATCTAATTCGGTGAGAATTTTGAATATTTGCCTGCCTGGATTTACCGTAAGAAGAAACAGAACAATGATGTTTGGTTAAATTTGGTATATTAATAGTTACTCCTCTCATGGTTCTACATAGCTTGTTTGGTGCTTTCGGTTTAATTTGGGTAAAATTTCGGTTATTCGGGTTCAGTTTATGATAGTATATTAGTAATTTTACTTAAATTTAGAATAAAATTTTGGTAATATCGGTTAGGTGGTTCCGAACCAAACCGGTTGAGCTGGCTAATTCGGTTTGGAACTGGTACATAGTGGATATGTATTTGATATCTTGCTTTCAGATAAAAGTTCTTGTTTGATGTTGAGACTGTATTTGCAGATTTGCTAAAGTTTCAGATGCTGCGAAAACAGATTGGTCTGCGTTTACTAAAGGTTACTTCTTGAATAGAGACACTCTTGTATGTGTTCTACTTCTGATCGATGCAAGTGTTCCTCCTCAGAAGATTGATCTTGATTGTGCTAATTGGCTTGGTCGCAACAATGTAAGTGGTAAATTTGGCTTTTGTTTGTTCAGTGAAATGTTGCTTTGAGGAGTTGTTAAATGTCGTTTTCGATGATTTCAGGTACCGATGACTTTTGTGTTTACGAAATGCGATAAAATGAAAGCAACGAAAGGGAAAAGACCTGATGAGAACATCAAAGCTTTCCAACAAATCATTAGAGAGAACTTCAAAGTACATCCTCCTTGGATTTTGACGAGTAGTGTATCGGGTTTGGGCAGAGACGAGCTTCTTCTTCACATGTCGCAGCTAAGAAACTACTGGGATCAATAGGTGTTCGAAAAGGTCGGTTTTAATACATTGGTTATATCAAATGGCAGTTTTGTAATGTAACGGTAACTTTTTTATTCATAGATAAGATCGTAAAATGTTACTACAGTTATAAATCTGTGGGAACAATTTCAAGAATTGCCGAAAAACTGGCAAGAATTAACATTAAAGGAAGCTTTTTTTTTTCTCGCTACCATCTTGAAAGATTTGCAGGACTGAGAAGAGGGAAAGCTTCCCAAAACCGAGATGATGACGGTGAAAGATCAAACGCGAACGGGTTATCCTTAGCTGTTGTTGTGTCATCAGAAATCTTGACTGGCTTAGCTTCAACTTGATGCACCTCTTGCTCATGGTCATGTGCACCAGTTAGCCTCTGAACCAACTCCTTAAAGTTAACATGCTCGACTCGGTAAACTTTAGGATGCATCCGCTGAGCCAAACCCGATACGGGTTTTTTCCATGGCTTTGCCGGTTGCTTTCGGGTCGAATGAAGCGAGGACTGGTAGTTCTGAGAGAAACATGGCTGAGAAGTAGCTTCCATGACGATCAGAAGTTTCTGCAATACACAAATGATTTGAAGCGAAGTGTCTTCTTATCTTGATGGCTTTGTGTGTACATAAGTATTTATATGTGTGTGGACGGCATTATTATATGTCAACGTTTTTGAAGCGTGTGGGTCAAAAGTGTTTTGGGTTTTATGATTTTCTTTTGCGGCTTATTCGGTTTTGACTTTTAAGTGAAATAAATGTGCGTTTTTGGGAACGAGATGGGTTGTTGGTTCATGGAATTGAAATGTCAACGTGGGTGTGCTAACTATTTTTATTTTCTTGTTTATTTAAATGTTAGGTGGAAAAGCAATGAGAACAATTTTGGATTAACATGGTTTTTGGTTATAATAGTATCCAATAGAATAATGTTCTCGTAAAGTGATTTATTGTGCATTAATCCATGACGCAAGTCTAACATTGAAGGAGAGCAATGGAGCATCATTAGTTATTTAATTCTCTTGTTTTGTTTTTACCTTTTCTACCTTTCGTTAAGATCCTGGAAAAATGTTTAGGTCCACAACTACACAAAATAACAAACAAACAAAACTTTTGCTTCCAAGTGTCAGAGTAAAAGCAATAATGTAAAGAGATATCTTCTTGATAAGTGATGAGACTCAATTATCCACATAGAAAGATATATCCTATCTACAAAACTTGAATACCACTTTCCAATGTTTGCAAACATTTTAGAAGTTGCTACATTTACCCTAAAAATTATATATTAAACTTTTCAAATCTATCAAAATTGTGATCTACATGTTTTTAAGTAAAAGAAAACATTTGGGTTTTTTTGAAAATCAAATTAATAAGTCTTAAACTAAAAGATAGATTAATCTTGAAATCGCGGGTAAAGATCGAGTTTTTGCCACTTAAAATGGCGAAGAATATATCTAAAAGTGCCGCTAACATTTGAATATGTCGGTTCCATTCGGAGTTTGACTCGGTCCATGATCTCGGTCTCACCCCCATCTTGAAATACAACACCATCTCCATTGCCTCAAAGACCTTGCTTTCATCCAAAACCTTGTTCCAAACCCCACTCACTACGCAGTAATTGTTATTATACGGTGCTCGGTGATGATTCACATGATGTACACGTGAAACAAGCAGCCCAATGTCTTGCAACCCCACCACAAGAGATGGAAGTTTGCTCTTGGTTCCATGAGCCCAAGTATGGAACAGCTGACAAAACAACACGCTAAATGCAAACATGCTTACAAAGCCATGAAACACATGGTCATCAAATGCAAGGTCTAGTGATTTTAAAGGTGGTTTTCCTTTAAGTAGCCAACTAGTAATCTATTACTAATAAAAGGGACTAATTGAGGCTTCTAAGGCTAGCCACATCAGCAGTTTAACATTTTGTCTTGAGCTGCCACATCAGCTGGCTAAACTTTAGATTCTAAATGTTTTGATTTTAAAGGTGGTTTTCCTTTAAGTAGCCAACTAGTATATCTATTACTAATAAAAGGGACTAATTGAGGCTTCTAAGGCTAGCCACATCAGCAGTTTAACATTTTGTCTTGAGCTGCCACATCAGCTGGCTAAACTTTAGATTCTAAATGACATGTCATCAACATTTTAAGACTACAAAATTAGGGTATACGATTGAATCCCCTTCTTTGAGATGATAACGTCCCTGAATGTTAAACCGGCTCAACTTCCAGCCACTTCCCCATCTCCCCACCTCTCCAATACAATCCAATCATCGCCGAAGGTTCATAACGCATCCCTCTTTCTTCAAACTCTTCACATGGTATATGTTAACGCACACATTCTTTCTCCTAAATTCCCACTTTAAAACATTTTTACTCTCCGCCACAGTCTCCCCCAAAACAGAAATATGAATCGTCGACCTAACGAATCTCTCTCAAATCCATCTGAGTTCAAATTCTTGGATTGATAATTTAAGGATCGAATCATTGGAGTGGGTTTATGGAGAACTCGAAATTGGGTTCAATTGGTACTTCATGTAGAAGTTGGTCGTCGAAGGAGTGCAGGAACACTTTTCAACGATATGAGGAAAGCTCTACCTCCTAGGTCAATCTCTTTCTCTCATCCCTTTCCCTGCATAACATCTTTCATTTTTTACTATAACTTTTAACGCAAATCTACATTCTAACCATTCGACTTTATGTTAGTTGTTTCGTTTGTGGTAGATTTGAAAGATGTATCAGCGATGACGAGGAGGAGCTGTGACGTTACACAAGAAAAACATCAACAAAGTCGTTGATCGAGCTGATGGCTGGTTGGTTTCGTGAGATGATGGTTCTACGGTACACTCAAAAAGGTACATCAATTCTCTTTGTTTCTCTTATTAGGGGGTACATCATTTTTCAATCCGTCTATGCTTTTTGTTTTGTTTCGTTTTCCATATTACTATCTAGATTGTGTTTTACGTGTTTCTTTTGTGTACCTTTGGTGTGAGTAGATTTTTGTTTAACTTAATGAGGTTCTGATTACCAACAAGGTTCAAGCGACAGTCTTTCGTAGTGAATTCTGATTAGAACACAAGGTTCACTCTTTTCTAATCATCCTCTAAGTAAAATTTGGTCTTTTTTTGCCCTGAGATTTTCGGCTTTTGAACCCTTGCTATTTGTTTGATCTTCTTGATTTGGGTTTAGATTGATAGCTAATTTTCTATTAGTTTGAAACAAATTTCCAACAATACGCTACATTTGTAAATTTTCAAGACATGTTTATGTACTCATTTGCAGTGTTTTGATTCACATGTTTTGGGGAATTGGTGTTGTAATTTTAACACCATAAAAGTGAAGATGTATTATAATTTGTATTCTCTGACCAACCTTGGCAGTGCATCAGTCTACTCCTCCACAATCACACGTTTAAGCACAAAGGAGAAGATCTTTCAAAAATTCACGGCAAGAGGAAAAGAGATCCCAAAAACTGTTGAGGACGTTTGAAAAAAACAAGCTTTTTGGTCCTACCATGCACACATCATTTTTGCGAGACAAAGAAACAAGTTAATGAATCATCTTCATGGCATTAAGCATTTTTAATATTTTATATCGGTCCACCAAAAATTACCTTCATATCTTATAAAACCTCATGGTCTCCCTCTATTTGTTTAATAACCCTCTAAATTCAATGATGTAAGTTTGGTTTTATGCTCCCTAAACACAAAAAATTGAACTAAGTAAAGGTTAAGTATCCATTTTTCACGTTCATGCTAATTTATATATACAAACATGTTGAGGCATATTTTGTAATATATGATTCTACAAAACCAAATAGGGGCTTCATATGATGTAGGTCAGCTAATCCTAGGCAAATATATATTGAATTTCTGAATAATTGTTTATACGCGAAGCTTTCTCTAAATTATGACTTACCGCTAGATAAAATTTGCACATCGATATAATCTTAATATATAAGTTAAACTATGACAATAACCTATTTGCGCATATGAGTTTAGTTATGTTACCCGGAAAAAAAAAACATGTCCGGGCGTAGCCCGGAATTTCCTCTAGTATTATAAAAGATTAATAAATACGACAAATATATTCTTGCCGCTTGTAAAATGTTCTATTTGGTTGCTTTATGAATTTTATATTCCAAAAAATCCGAATTAAACATGTTATGATTATTTTTAACTCAAAACACGCATTTATTTATACTTGAATCTAGATAGTGAGACATCAACATACTAATACAAACTACTAACTGCAAACCATGTCGCATATAATCGTGCCTATAATAACGCATTATCTTAATTTTTCTATAATAGTCACATTATACGGTATTGATCAGTACGGACGAGTATTGGCATCACCCATCGGCCTAGGAGCATAGTTACATACAACCCAAACATACTCATTCTTAAAACACCTAACCGTACCACAACCAAGGTGTGTCGATTGATTAGCCACAATCTGAGTGTATGTCCACACGGTTCACTACATCTGTTGGTGGCATAATGTAATACGGCTTTTCCGTCAACCAAAACTTTGTCGCGATCGGACCGCTCATGGTGTCCATAGGTTGGACCCACCCAGCGGCTATATTCTCGCCGTACATTCCGTCAGTGGAATGTTTCATGGCACAGTCTTGGGATCGTACGTTAGCGTACCTCTGTGCATGGGCAGCAAGTTTTTCGTCCCACACCAATGGAGCAACCCCGACCGCGGCTCGAATCTGGTTGTGAATCGCTAGTGTTTCTTCCGGTTGGAGATCGTCCATTCGGTTAAAGTTTCTCAAACCATAGATTTGAGTTAAGACGATGGAGGATAATGTTATTACCACGAAGCTATAACCAGAAAAAGACATTTTTCTCTCTTTTGTTTTTGTTGTAGAATTGTTTGGAACTAATTAATGTTTTCGTGAAGACTTATCAGATTCCTTTTCTGATGTTTTTTCCTCTCTTTTTGTAAGCCTCTCAAACAAAACAAGAGCTCCGTGACTATTTTTAAGTTTTCAATATTCACCACTAAACCAAAAAAAGAGAAGAATTGTTTTCTTTCTGTTCAATTGTCAAATAGTAAAAGCTATATACTTACGTTTAGAAATTTCTTAAAATAACATAAACTTTAGGATGAGATTCTAATTTTAGAGTAACAAAATATATTTATCATTAAGTGATAATTAAGTTATCCAAATTTTTATTTTTTTTGTTACAAAAGTTTAATGATTTATGGTTTCCCTTCCAAATCCATTAGTTTTCATTATGTAATTAACTACGAAAATCGACGTGAAAAACGCTCGTTAATCCGACCAAACTGTCGAATTTTGATTGTCTTGTTAGTTACGTTCGATCGCATAATCTCTCTAAACTGTGTACTCCACGTCATGTTATAACTCTCGTGAGTTTATTCAACACCCGTGAATCCGTGATATATATTTGTTCTACGTAAACCATTCCTTAAGATTGTGAGATATAATATTTTGTAATGTAGAGTGACGTGAGGCACTAATTAAAATTCTATAATGATGATGACAATTTTAACATGTTACAAGCTTTCTCTCTCTCTAACAAGTTGAAATTTTTTAGCACAACCCGTGAAGAAACGTACTATGCTTTTTAAAAATAAAGAACAATCTTAAACCGAAATCGATAACGACCTCTAACGATGGTTTTGATCGGTTTAATCAACTCAGTAAAGAGAGACATACTTCTCACGTGAACTATCTAGTTCGATTCATAAGTAGAAACTCAATGTTGGTGAGATTGATTATTCATGGTTGAGGTAAATGTAGGGTAACGATATTTCCCCCACAAAAAGAAAATATTCTCTTAGAGTTGATTAATTAATGGAACAAAAACAACCTTGAGGGAAGGTGGTGGTATCGTTTAGAAGTCCAAACAACTAAAATGTTGTTAAGAACAGAAAACATTATAGTATTAGTTTTGCTTAAAATCACATGACCGTAGTAAGATTTTATAATTTGGTATAAAATGATCCAATCATTAATACGGACGTTGACCTATGTAATTCCCCGGAGGATCATAGCTACAAATCACCCAAATATACTCATCATTCTTACACCTCACCGAGCCGCAACCGAGTCGAACCGAGTCACGCCACAACGATCTGAGTGTAGTGTCCACACACACCATCACCACCACCACACGTGTTACTGTCATAATCGTAATTTTCCTTCTCCGTCATCCAATACTCAGTCGCAACCGGACCGCTCATTGTTCCCCAACCCGCGGCTAGATTTTCGCCGAATGGTCCCGAGGAATGCTTCATGGCACAGTCTCTGGCTCTTTCGTGTGCATAGTTTTGTGCATAAGTCGCAAGAGTTTCGTTCCACACCATTGGTCCGACTCCGACCATGGCTCGGGCCTTGTTGTGAACCGCGAGCGTTTCTTGCGGCTTGACATCACCATTTGCGTTTGCTTTTGGCGGTTGAGCAGGAGTGTGACGATAGGCTTGAGTTAAATCGGAGAATAATGCGACTACGATGAAACTATAACCAAAGAACGACATTTTATTCATTTTGTATTTGTGTGGTTAATTGTTTTGGACTTATTGTGTCGTAAAAGAAAGCATTTTCTTGGCTAACGTATTTATAGACGTTGCTTTGGTGGGGTACGGACTTTGGAACGTTATTATTCTTTTAACTTTTGAATTGTTGAAAAAAATCTTTAACATAGTGTAAATTGAGGACAACAAATAACAATTTTAGCATCAAGTTTCCAAAATGTTATGGTTTTTGAATTAATTATGATATCTTTTACAAAAGTCAAATGTTCTTCGATGTACAAGAAAAAAAGTCATTTCAAGAGCATATAAATTAAGATATAATCCCAAAGACTCAAACTAGATTAACATATAGTTTATCTTAACATATATAATAAGTTCATATTAACATGAATTAAAGGGCACCTTTGTCTATTAGCCCCAATTATAACTATAAACAAAAGTACAGCGATCTTAATGAATTGTGTATTAGCCCCAATTTTATGAAATCCGGTTATAACATGGTAAGCAGTTATAAAAATATGTATGAAGTCCAAAAAAAGAAAGTTGTAAAAGTAGAAGGCAATCATACGATTTGTTGTAAATGTGTACTCGTAGTCGTCGCCGTTACTTTTCAAACCCTTTAAACTGAGGCAAATAACCACAAAAGTCAGAATCAATGACGTTCGTTAATCCCACCGAAAGTCGAATTTTGATTGTTCGGAATAAAATAATCATAACTATAGAATTATAAGTATCAAGAAGTCTCGTAAGTTACGTATAATTTTCTATAATCATCATGATATTATAATTCACGTGAATTATATTTCAACACCCGTGATTTGTTCTCAGCTTAATTTTCGGGGAGTGATTGTTGACTTTTTACTTTGGATGGTAAAATATTCGCTGATTACTTTAGTATAATGTGTCAATGTTTTAATTAAATCTCAGTTGATCAATGTTAAAGATTTCTTGGAAAATAAATATTTAGGTTTGAATCAAGGTTATATATAAGGGCTCGACCAATAACGTCTGCACACTCTTGATGCTTAAATCCTCATTATATACTTGATCTCATGTGAGTATATTTAGGTTTGAATCAAGGTTAAACATATAGTAACTATGTAAATGAAACAATGAAAAGCAAATCTGAAAATATAACAATCCTTTAGTTTAAATTAATACACATAATATTATCCACATGGCCACTTGCCATAGAGAGATAACGAAGATGTTTACTACGACATCTAAACTCATCATGGTTTGTGACTCCTTCAAGTTTAACTCTTCTCATTAATTTCTTTCTATTTATATCAAAATAGTAAACATTTAAATCATCAGAAAACGTATTGGGGGTAAAAACGAACTCCCCATCATCAGTGGTTCCCGAAAAAGTTAGTCGTAGACCCCAAAAAGAATGCGAAAAAGCAAAAGTCTTCGACCAAATTTGTTTCTTCGCATCGTCTAGAACCCACAAACTAAAATTATTACCTAAGAAACTAAGGCCTGCTAATTTCCCTTGGTACTTTACTAGGTAACTTAACGTTTCTCCAGCTGTTTTAATTTGACCTAAACGCTCAGAACAAAAATCAAAACTAGCCACTATCATAGAGTTAATCCACGGCTTTATCCTAGCTTCATAATACACAACTCCATCAATGTATACACCATTAGTACTAGGAATATATTTAGAGATACCACTTTTGACGCTCCTCCACGGAAAAGAAGAAGATTGTCTACACCCCAATGTATACACACTATGTTCAGAAACAAAATTACTCCATGGCCTCGTGATCACGCGCAATACCTTGTATTGATCATTGCTTGGGTCGTATCCCAAATGCATATAACATTTCATGTTATCAGGATTAAAAATGTGATCTTCCGGTAAATTTATGACTTGTCTTGTAGTTGGATTACATACCATGAATTGACGATGATGAGAACAACATATGAAGCCGCGAATAGAATCACTATGGATGGTGTAATCGCCAAATGGAGAGGTTTTTGATATCTGTCATCTCATGTTTGGCCACTATTGATGATGTTGTTACGTTTGATTCATGGGAAAGATGAGGCGAGGAGAAGAAGAGCAATTGGTTATCGTCGCCATGATTGATTTTGAACGCGAAAAGGAGACAATGTCGAGCCATAGACATTGACATGAAAGTATCTATGAATGGTTGGCTACGGATTATGGAATACCATGTTTTCGATATACATATGAACTTGAGAAGGGCTTTTGCTGGCAGTCTTTGGAGTATTTGGATCGTTAGATCAAGAGGAATCGACTCTGAGCTACTTTTACCGGTTGTCATCATCACTATTTCTTCTCTATCCTTTGCTTTCATATCAAGTTTCCCACAGTTTTGACTCATGACCACCTTTTATAATATAAAACAAACAATCAATTGCTTTAATTTACAATAGATTTCCCCTTTACTTTTGTTTTCCATCCAAATTATGGTAACATATCCATGTTTTATATAAATTTATATATCTATCTTTACTTTTACTATATACTATTATTCTTTCTTGTTGGCAAACATTAATATTTTATATTTTTTTCTGTGAAAAATGTTAATATCATTTATTTTCTCTATTCAATAGAGATATCATGCATTATAATCTTCCTAGAAAAACAAGTGATGAGAGTTACAACTTTCATAAATATTTTTTCCTCTAAAATCACTTAGCCAACAAGGAATTAAAGACATGCCTCAACTAAATATATATATATATATATATATTAAATTTCTAATTGGTATTATTAGCTATGTGACTATGTGTCATATAAAATTAATAATGTATTTGATATCAAAAGTCCAGAAAAATAAAAAAAGTTTTTGTTCGCACCAAATTTTGGAAAATTTAAACTGAAAATCTTACTAAAGCAAGAATATGTAAAAACCATAAGAGTTCGAAAAATACATACTCATGTGGAAAATTTATATATTGCGAATAAGTAGTTATGGACAACATACAGATCAACTCATGATACATACTCAAGTCATGTGGTAAGCTCTTGTGGCTGTGTTACGGTTTTGGTACCAAAGCTACAAAATTCTCGTAAGATTTAAGACCCAACTAGTTCCCTAAAAGAGGTAGGCTTTGCACAAATTAATTCGTACCCATGGTTCGTGGAGCAGCAACGGTTTCATATTAATTCATACCAAGGTTCTTGGAGCATCAATGGTTTCATGGGCTCTCGTCGATCTCATCTGGAACATGCAATTTCTCCATTGCAGCCTGTTTCAGACAATAAGAATAACCAGTTTACGCTATGAATGCTTTCACTAGACTCTCAAAATACTCTGTTTGTTGTATTTCTAAAAGACTCAAACCTTTATTGCAGCAACGTCAGTTGCAGGCGGTTTCATATCCAAAGCTAGACCGAAATGAAGCATGGCCTTATCGTGCATGTTTCTCCGCTTATAGATCCTCCCCATTAAAGCGTAAACACTGCTCTCTGAAGGCGCATACTCTTTGAGCTCCTCAAGAACTTCTAGAGCTTCATCTAATCTTTCTAAGCAGACGAGTATGTTAGCTTTCTGGTACATTGGAAGAGGGTTTTTTCTGTCTGCTAGTATAGCTTGCTCCATTATCTCTAGTGCTTCCTCACTTTTCTGTTAACACAGAACAAGAAGAAGCATTTAGTCATTCTTCAAAGATTGTTTCTCTTGTAGACCTAATAATATGAAAGTAATAAAATAACCTTTAAGGCGTGTAAAGATGTCCCTAAATAAGACATTATAACAGACGAACTCGGGTTTATTAGGAAAGCCATTCTGAAGTGATGCTCTGAGAACTCTAACTTTTCTTGGCGTAGATATATCATTCCAAGCCCGTACCATGCGTTGTAGTGTCTTGTATCTACACGAAGTGCGTTTTGGTAACTTTTCATTCCGTTCTCAAAATCTTCAAGAGTTGTGTATCTACAGAGACAGTAAAGATAGAGACTGTCACTTAGACCAGCAACCAGAGAATTTTAAGCACATTGTACAAGACAAATTCAAATGGATAGAAGCTTTCTTACTCGTGGCCACATAACGTATGTGCATAAGCAAATCTTGGATTCAGTTGAACAGCTCGTAGGAAATTCTTCAGTGCGGTCTCATGGTCCTTTTGCAAGCTATAGCAATTTCCCATAGCACACCTACGTAATTGATTTTTTCTCTTATTTCTCTATTACCAACAATAAATGAAAAAAATAATCAGAAAAATAACTTAAACAAAAGTTACCAAGATTGAGGGGCTAAGCGATCGGTTGATATTAGTTCCTGAGCCAAGTAACTCAGCTTCATATCTTCCTTCAAATGCTACAAAAAAAATTACAATACATGATATTTCTTTCCAGAAATTTTCCAATCTTCTCTGAGCCTAAAGCAAAATGTCAAATTTTGAGTTTCATCAAAGACTCAGATGAGATTGTATGTTAGGAAACCAGGAAAATACACTTACGTAGAGGACCGTAGAGTATATATCCATTCCTTCTAAGCAATAAGGAGAAGCTTGGCGGGCAAGACGGAATGCTTTTTCAGCTTCTAAATAGTCAATTAATTCAAAATATGCCTTCCCGACCTGCATTTAATAGCCATTATATGTATATAAGCCTTTCAACAATAACTATCACAGGCCACTAGACTAAAACTCATTCAGGGGTTCTCTTTGGAAACTTCCGTTCAAGTAGTCGTTATAAAAAGGGGAAAAGTGTATGTATATACAAAACAAAAACAAAAACAAAAAAACTGAATAAGATAGCTCCTAAAATGGTTATCCAAATAGAACATGTCCAAGCTATATCCATATATGGCAGCCTAAAAGAGAAAAAGATCACTAATTACCTGGGAAAGAACCCATCCTGTATTATAATGCTTATGTGGAAGTTTCATATATGTATCCAGTGCCTCCTGAACCACCCAGAAGCAGAGGGAAACAATGAGATAAACTTATATAAGTTCACCTCACCTTGCATAATTCACGAGACCAACACTATGCCTACCTGACACCTGTACGTGTACGAAAGTCTACACCCTTCTCCGAGTGTCCTAAGGAGGTTTAAAATTTCCGAAACACCAACTGTGATTCTTTGGGCACTCATCGCTGTGCCACCAATCGACATTGTTTCATCTTCTTGATCACAGGATTTAGCATCATTGGAAGTCGTTGAGGCGGTATTAGGCCTTGAATCATCAAAAGGTTCCCCACGGACCCCTAAACCCATCAGAATGACAGTATTACAAATACGCAGACACCAAAATAGAAGGCATGATAACAATAATCACACAAGGCCAAATTTCAAACAAAATAGTGATATAGTGCATGGAATGTCACAACCTTCATCCATGTTTTCATTTGCCCAGGAGTGTCCCTTCCGAAGTGTTACAGAACGAAGTGCCAAAGAACTCAATTTAGAACCTCCCAAATACTTGGAAGAGTTGTTCACATTTCCGCTTACTGTTGCAACACTTGAATTAGTGTTTACCCCTGAATCAGCAGACAGTCTTGAGCTCCGTCGTGGACCAGAATCAGAAAATAGCCTTCCAGATATCTGCAAACAAAAGACACATGCACTCACGATGAGAAAGTTGGTATAGAAAATTTCATCCCGAGTAAGAATCAGAGTATCAGACTATTACAGAGAAAGTAAAGACCAATAAATTCAAAATTATGATTTGATGATGTCAAGTAGACCAGTACAGATATGTGAATACTACCTTACGTAACTTTCCTTCATCTACAAACTTTCTTCTGGGTGCTTGAAGAGTAGAGTTAACTGTGGACTTTGGAGAACTGTCAGTAATAAGGGAGTTTGGGTTTGCAACAGCTGGCTGAAAATTCCGGAAAAGTGGTGGTGGAGCTATGCCGGATAGCTACAATTTCACAAATACAAAAGCATTTCATTTACAGCTGTTCTTATTCAGATAACTAAAAAGGCTGATAAAATTAACAAGCCAAACCAAAGACACTAAAACATAATGAAGACCCCATTTTTAATAGTCAAAAGATTAGACAACCCATTCTTTTGACATAAAAGATATAAAAGAGATATAAACGCTGTAAAATCAACACCCATAATGCACTAGTCTCCTAAGTACTACAGCATGTGTGATCAACAGATGGAGACATAGTTGTACATAAAAAAAAGCAGTACGGTAACTGTGTGACATTACCTGTGCAGCCACTGGCGAAGGCGTATTATAGAATGACATGTTCGAAACACCTCCATTAAGTCCATGAGAATGGAAATTTCCAGAGATATCTTTAAGGCTTTGTGTGTGTTTAGACTGCCTGGGACTATAATCTTCAGAACTCGTGTTTTTAATAGAAGTCGAATTACGTTCCTCATCATACGTGTTTAAGCCGAGGGAAGTTGACAGTTGTTGCATGTACTGCTTTTGAATGGAGAGAGCAGCTGTTTCACCAAAAACTGCAGTTGCTTCCTCAGCAGCACCTGAAAAGTTGAACGGACAGAAAAGTGTTAAGCAAACCATAACAAATCTGAGAAGTATGCAGAAAAGAGATTCTATTTACCTAATATACATAATTCCTCATATGCGGCCCAAAGTAGAGGGTCTATTGTCAAAGACTGTCTAAATTGTTGAGCAGCATTCTTCCTTCTATCAGTATACCTGAAAGGTCACTATTATAAATTAGACATATCATCGAAGACATTCAGAATCAAGAAAAAAATGCATAGACAGAATAAAGAAACGAACTTGTAAATAAGTCCAAGAAGGTAATGGCCTGCTGCACCATTTGGGATCTGCACAATCGTCAGAAGCTATGTTGTTATCTTAACTGAACTAAATCAATAAATAAGGTCCAGATACACACTGTGTCTGTAAAATGACACTCAGTAAGGGAATAAATGTAATATACCAGAGAACATTAAATACCTCCGCACCAGCTTCATTAACAGGGCAGAGTGCAGATTCAGCTTCATTGAGAAGGTCCATCTGGAAGCACGATAACGCGAACAAGTACCGGGACTGAGCCATTTGTGTTCCTTTACATAATACAAAATAAAAATACAAAGATGATCAAAACGACCTAAGAAAAGAAGGCGCAAAATTCTGACTAAAAGGCTAACAAGCAACAAGAAAAGAAACAATGCCACGCACCCTTTAGCAGATGATATGCACTGTAAGCTTGATTATTCTGCAGGTAGCTGGTAGCTAATAGCTGCAAATTAACCTATATAACAGGAAAAGTCAGAAAGTGAAGGCTAGTCTTTTATCGACACGCTTTCGATTAACTGAAGATAAACAATTGGACAACCACTAAGAATGTTGAAATCAATCCAGACCAAAGGCTGAATGAAAGAATGCTTTCCCAACTATTACTGAAGCTGTATTAACCCAAATTTAAACAAAGCTTGAGATAAGCCCAGAGACTTTCCTCTAATTGTTGACTCTTAGCTAAGTTCCAAGGATAATAAAAACTTAAAACTTGAAATCATATATGGACAAAGTCATTAACTTCGGAAATCTAAACCCTCGAAATTGCAAATTTTCCAATCAGTAATGAGCACAACTACTAGAGAAAACAAATTCAACAAAAGAGAGAATAAAACAACGAATTCATCTCCTAATCAACACATAGATCTCGAAAACAAAGGGCTAAAAGGTAAGAAACCAAAATCGTTCAGAAGAAAACACAGTGAAGCTATCAAATTCCAAAAAGAGATGCACTTTCGACGAATTCAAAGATACCCAGACAAATTACAAACCCAAAACTCTCTAATTTACCATTCCAAGAGCTTCGATTTACAGAATTTGAATAAAGAGAGATAAAATCAGAGAGAGTGAAAGAAGATGGTGATACCTCAGAAGGAAACTCAGCGCAGAGACGCTCACACATGAAAATAGCATTCTTGTAGACAAAATGACGAAGACTGTTGTTCACACAGTCCACAAGCATAGCTTCCATAGTTGCCTTTCTTCTTCTTCGAGAGAGAGAGAAGAGAGAGAAAAAAGGGTTTTCTGTTTTTTCTGCAACTATTTTTTTCTTTTACCCTTTGGGATTTTTTTTTTTTGAAGTCGTCGTGATTTCAAATTTTGATGCGGCACGTGCGATGCTCTGTTTTCAAACAATTCCGCACGTGACAGATCCATTAGCCTTGGGCTTAGTTAGCTTATTGGGCTTTGTAATCTGACCGTGTTCAACAATTAATATAAGGTTGAATAACTTTCTAGGGTTTGTGTTGTTTACTTGTTCGAGCGGCCACCATGAAAACACAGCAGCAGAGAGATGAAGACAACGACGACGGTTCGATCACAACCGTTGGAAACAGTAACACAGAACCGATCCCTCTAGATCTGACGATCGAGATACTCAAAAGATTGCCTGCGGAATCTATTTTCAGGTTTAGGTGCGTATCGAAGCAGTGGTGTTCCATTACATGTAGCAGATTTTTCATTGACTCTTTATGTCTTTGTCTCTGTCTCGACCACGTTTACTCTTCTGCTGTGGTATTAAACATTGGTATAATACTTATAGTAATGAGAATCCATTGATCTGTTACTCTACGCCTCTTCCTCCTCAAGAATCAAACAATTTATCACTTGTATTATCCAAACACGACATGCCGGACTCGAGAATAATATCTCCTGATCAGTTCATGGACTCCTGCAATTCTGTCCGTGGCATCCTCTGTATATCTGCTTTGGGTCGGCAGAGTCGTCATTTCTTCATATGTAATCCAACAACAAGACAAGTACTAAGGATTCCTACTGATCACCTGACCAGGTGTGAGTATCAGAGGTGTTCTACTTACAGTAAAACCTCTATAAATTAATAATGTTGGGACCACGAAATTTTATTAATTTAGAGAGGTATTAATTTATCGATAAATTAATAATTATTAATTTATAGAGAGATTTTACAATTTTATAATTTCTTAAAAAATTTCTATCTAAAAATAGAGAAGCAATTATTAAGTTTAAAAAACAAACACAAACTGTTTTCGAATAATAGATTCATATTTTATTAAAATTTTACATATAATATAATAAATATATATCATAGTAATTCATATATGACAAATATAAATTTATATCATATATATATATACATATATATATATATATTAAGTTAAATATACACATATATATATATTGATAAATTTATATAATTATTAATTTATGATATAGATGGGACCATATGTTTATATGAGATTTTCAAAAAAAATTATTATCTTATTAATTTATCGATTTATGTTTTATTTTACACTGGTGCTAACTCGGGACCAGAAGAATTTATTAATTCAGAGAGGTTATTAATTTATAGAGTATTAATTTATTGAGGTTTTACTGTATATGTGCTTAGGATACGACACAAGGAAAGATCAGTACAAGATATTGCGCAGGATTGTGAGCCACGACGACTCTATTGAACATAGTGTATGTACGTTGGAAAGAGGTCATCAGATACAATCTTCTTCTTTTTCATCATGGAGGCACGTTGAGAGTAATATCTTCTATTACCATCGAGACATTCATGCTGTATGCATCAATGGAGTTGTGTATTATGCAGCTTGGAAAAAAACATCAAGCAACAGCTTTGTGATAGTGAGTTTTGATGTTGGGTTTGAACGGTTACTTCTCACTGAAGCACCAAAAGAAGAAGTGAAGTTAGATTATCGTCTAAAACTAATAAACTACAAAGGGAAGTTAGCGTTATTTTATGTCCACAATGATTATAGTTATATTTTGTGTGTTCTTGATGATATCAAGAAGCAAATTTGGTTGACCAAGACTGGTGTTCTTTCTTCTTTTTGTGATATATCCCGGAATCTCATAGTAGAGACATGCGGTACCACTGATGCTGGAGAGATCTGTTTTGTGTCGCCATCAAATGCTTCCGAGTTTTTAATTTACGATTTGGAGAAGAACAGTGTCAGAAGAAGAGTTACAGTGGAAGGAATCACAGAAGAGTTTCGTCGCTGTTTCTTTAGATCATGTGACCATGTAGACAATATTGTTTCTTTCTAGAGAAATTTAATTGAAAGACTGTTTGAATCCAATGGTGTACTCACTTGCCTCTAGGCTTGACCAAAACGTGGTTTATGAATCCAACAACGCTTGTGATTGGTGTGGAAAAACCCTCGGTAATATATTTTATCGTTGTATTGAGTGTGACTTTCGTCTCGATATGGACTGCATGAGGGAAGATCCTCCTTTTACTATCACAAACTCAGAGAGCCATCAACATCCTCTCACTTTGTTTCCTAGACCACTTGTAGAACCTTGTAATGTTTGTGGGTTGGGTGGAACCAAAGAGATAGGTTATGCTTGTGATCCATGTAACTACTTAGTCCACAAAAAATGTATAGTACCATAAAGCAAACACCTCTTCAAGATCATCTTGCTGTGGCGGATACTCCATGCCTTCCACCAGTTAGTCATGAAAGCGCTGAAGATGTAATGGATGGAGAAGAACTCGAGGAAATCAAAGAAGTCTATTGCGCTATTTGAAGAAGTTTTTTTGTGTGGTTGAATAAGTTTTTTTTTTTTGTGGTTGAATTTTGTTTAAACAAAGATGTGCTTGATCATGATGCAATAAACTTGTTGATTTGTATATATCATTTGTTTGTATATTTTTGGAATATTATTTATATTAAAAATCACTACACAATTTTAACAAATTACTAGAGACATGTTAAAATACTTTATCCATCACATTAACATTGAGTTCATAAAAGAACATTGAATAAACCCATTCGGGTGTATTGCAATTGTCAGTCAGAAAATCAAATAAAAGTTGAAAAAGAAAGATGAAAACAAAGGTATTACAATATACAAAATTATAACAGTTGACAACATGTAACAAAGCCCACAAGCTTTGATTAGTACAAAAAGAAGAATGTTTCACTAAAAATTTCTACTTTCTTGTACAAGTAATTTAATTTCCCAATACCAAACCGCTAGCCGCTTAACCAAAATAATATTCCACATTTAATTTCACTCTCAGGTTAGCTTCCTCGGCAAGTTATAAGTCTTTTTCAGAAACTTAGTCGCAGGCTCATCATAACGGTAACACAATACTCTTAAAAGTGTGTTTGGTTCCGTCGGACTCCAGGGACCAGAAGTCGGCGGTAACGGAAGTTTCCCTCTGTCAGAACCATGATTCTCGAGACACACCGCTTTAAACCGTTCAATCAAAGAATCAGTATCCGTGCGCAGCAGCGGAAGTATACTCTTGACCGTCGTCGAAACCTTCTCGATTAGATCCAAAGGCAATCCGTCTCCATTTGACCAGAAAAGATCGCACAGAAACTTGAAATCCTCCTCTACGGCAGCAGAGTCTTGAATTGTGAAGCCACGCGATGGCCCACCTGCGAGGAGGACCAATAAGAACCCGTCGAAAGAAGCTCTCATGATGTCTGAAATGACTCTGGTTCGGACTCTGTCGTGAACTGATGAGGAGATAATCTCAAGGCACCGTTCGAGCTCTTGAAGAAACGGCTCAATCCTTGAGGAAGGAACTTCCCCGAGGTACAGACCATCCCAGAGAACGTTGCTCAGGTCATGGAAGACGATCTTGTAAGCAGTTGCTTCAGACAATTGCTGTATTCCTTTCGAGCAATAACCAATTGACTGTTCAAAAATTTTACCTTTACCATCCAAAGCCGCAACTTCGGATTCCGGGAGACGATTCAATGTTTTTCTCCCGGATGATTCGATCTCTGTCCTGATATACTGCAGAGTGTTGATCCTGCAACAGAACTGAAGTATTTCCGCGGAGTCATTACTTGTCCCCAGCTGTGATTTTCTCCTGTGAGAAGCTACCATTGGCTTCTCCTTTTTCTTGAATACACCATGTAGTCTGGACCCGACTGTGCATCTTGTTAAAGCAGGCAAAGCGGGTAGAAATGTATTCCGCGAGCCTAATGGAAACCATACAAAAAAAACCAGAAACTCCATAAGTGAAATCAACAAAGCGTGAGCTTTATCATTCCAAAAACCAAACAATCGACTGCGTACCGCAGGAAGATTTCGCCTTTGATACATAATGCTGCATACACTTGTCGAGTCCTGACGTTAGCTCAGGAAGCAAAACTGGATGCAAAAGTATCGGCAACAAGAAAAACGCTTCCAATGTCTCATCTACCATCCTCAGTACATCCACAGCAGAAGGAGCGATACCGAGTTTATTCGATCTCGGATTCCATACCTTCAATAGAAAGTTACAAAACCAATCAATAAATGAATAAACTCTCAAAAAGAACAAAAGTCAAAAACCATGAAAGATATTTAAAGTAGTTAGATACCTCTTGCTGGAGATTCCGGTCGATCCACTCCTTTAGCCTATCGACTCGGGTCTTGATCCACGATTTCACAAGGTTACCAATAACGACTTCCGCTTCAAAAGGAGGCATCTCTCTTATAACCGATTTTCCGCCATCTTCACTATCTACTGCATCTTGTACAGCAATTTGCACCAGATCCTTCTCAAGCTTATCTGCAGCAGTGAGTACTCTTATAGCATCTGGCGTCAACTCGGTAATACCCGAGACGAATTTCTTCAACTCGGTTCCATAGCACGAATGAAGCGTAGCTGCAGCCACACCAGCTGCAAGCGGGTGCCAATTCTTCAAAATTGGACTAAATATCGCCTTCTCGTTGAAAGCTAAATGACCAATATCCTCTGCAAGAATCGCAAGAGCAGGAAGATTATTCGTGTTCTGTCGGGATTTTGACTTCTTGCTATGTTCCACCATCCTCTTTGTCTGTTACAAGCAAAAAACAATAAAGCTACATAAATGGCTGCAGATATGAAATCAAATCGACAGAAAAAGGAAAAATAAGCGAACCTGTGAAAAAGCCATACGCAACGAAGACCTGATATAGGTATCGACTCGATCACCCCCTGAATCGACATGCTTTTTTTTCCTTCTATACTCACTAGAAGTATCTTCGCCTAGTACCTTAGCTACCAAAATCCCCAAAGAAACCGTAGTTTCCAGCGTCTCAACGTTATCGATGTTGAAAGTATCATGGTAAGCAAGAAGTCTCTTCTCAGCCCAATCCATCACCAAACTCAAAACAGAACTCGAGATCTTGGAATACTCAGGATCATTTGTCTCCTTTGCGTCATTCTCAATTTCGAGTATCAAGTTATGAGCAGCTACAAGCAAGTCATTCTCCACTTGTCCGGTTGATACATACCGCTTAAACAACACCCAGAGAAAGCAAACATTGTGAATCAGCTGATTCATACCCAAGACAGGCCATGTTTTCTTTATAAGCTCTAAAACTTCATCTACTTCTTCAACAATCAACAACTCATCGTTCACATCAAAACAAGACTCTAAAAGCATTTTATAGATTCTAAGATTCAACGGAAACCCATCAGCCCAATGACAAGTCTCAGAACCAATCCCATTGTTGTTCTGCCGACTAGCAAGAGACATTACTAAACTCCTAAGATTCTGCGTCTCCCCCGTGATCTTCCCGGTATCTAACGGCCTCTCGATACCCGACCGAATAATCTGTTTAAGCTGTTGAACAGATTTATCAGATTTACTTAACGGCACACAAGGATATAAAATCAAACCGGCTTCAAGAAGCTTCAAGTTTCTTCTCTGCCATGATTCATACTCTTCTTGGTCTGGAAAATCTGAAGCTTTAAGCTGTTGAAGAAGCTCAAGAGGTAGCACCATCATCTCCACACGCCTCCCAAGCTAAAATCAAATCACAATTTTCAAAGCTCAAATCATAAAAAATCAAAATCGATTCTTTCTCGAGAAACGTACCTGACCAGAAGCGATCCTGAGAAGAGCTCTACGAATCCTTGAATCGATCTGCTCCGAAATTCGCATTTGTACTCGAACTAACTCACCCACCGTGACAGATTTCTTGCTCCGATCCGGTTGACCCGAAGATTCTCCGCCGTCTCCGTCTCCGTCTCCAATTCGTTTCTTCATCCCTAAAGCTTTCTTCACCTTACTCGCAGCTGTAGAAGTCAGAGATCTATGAAGCGACGGTGACGGAGCTAACACCGACGTCGTCACACCGTTGCTCCGATCAGATTTCGGCGATTGAGGAATGTAAGTCAGCGGACGACTTCCAGTGCTACGACAAGCAGCGACTAAGATCTCGTAAGCAGTTTCTCGGAGCTCTGAATCAGATAAATTTGGAGCTGGATCGCCAAATGGAGATGGTAACGATTCCATTTCCACTTCGAATTCACCAAAAAGAGAGAAACTTTGGATCAAAGTAACAAGCTTTATACTCAAAACCCTTCTCAGATTTAACACACAAGTACCAAAAATGATTCTCTCTTGTATCAAAAATTAAAACTTTTTTTTGTGAGCTCGAAATCAAAAACGACAAGAGAATTTTGCGGAAGCGATTAGATCAAAGGGAAGAGACAATCATTGATTCATCAACAAATGCACAAAGAAACAAACAAAAACTGCAGAGATAAAGTATTGAACTTTATTATTTTTGTTCTTGAGAAAAATATATTAAAAAGATGAAGAATTTGGTGTTGCCCAGATTATGATTCTTGCTTGAGGTTAAAGAATGAATGAATTTAAGAAAGAAAAAGTAAAACCAGACGGCGACAACAAAAAAATGGAAAAGAAGATTTGAGACAAGTGTTATCTTCGGTACCAAATGCACATGTTATTATTTATTTGGTTTTTATCTTTTTTAGGAGAAGAAAATTAATCAAGAATGGAAGAGATTAGGGATTGTCATTAATGATCTATACTATTAATTGGGAAGCATTTTGTGAACTACAACATTGTGAGGGTAGTTTAAGACTAACTAAATGAATTTTTACATGGGTAATTTAGTAAATAAACACCTACTACAACTAAATAAATATATTTGATTTAGATCTTTCATTAATTAGGAAATCAGAATGCCATAATGATAATTTAGAAATATATTTGATTTGCTTAATCGACGGAATAAAATAAATAAATATTAAAAATGATATTAATTAGGAAATCAGAATCAAATATATGACCCAAATTTTAAGTACTTACCATAACTACCTGAGATCTGTGCACCCATTTAAAAAAATATATAGTAAATATAGATATTTAAGGAAATCGTAGTAATTCAATATCCCATATATTTAGTACCTACTATAACTAACAAATCTTTATCCGAAAATTTTGAGAATATCCCATATATTAATTCCCTGCAATCATGCGAATTTGAATTTGATTTTTTTATATAAAATTAAATAACTATTCGGAAATTATTTCTATATTTATAAAGATTAGAAAATGATAGTTACCAAACTCAGAGTAGTTAAAAATTCAGAAAATATCCTTAAATGACATTTTTACTAAATATTTAAATATTAAAAGATTTAATCAAAAAATTGTGATTCAATTTATTAGGATTGCTCTGCAAGCTAAAAGAAGATTTCAGTAGAAGATTTCAATTTCTTAACCCTAAATCGACATCTCCACTTCACTATATAAGATCACCCATTTCTCTAAACAAGACTCCATTTTTTTTTTTCCCAGTTTTTTATGATTTTTTTTCTTTCTAATTTTGCTCAATCTAATTATTTGTTTCAGTTTAGCTTTTCTTATTGTCAGATTATTTATAATTTCATATACATTGATGGTAATATCTTTTTCTAAATAAATGTTTTTTTTACATTTATGCAGGTGCATATTAAATTTGATAATGGAAAAGCAAAATTCACATTTGCTTGGGATGTGATTTTTAAAGTTCAAGGTACTTTTAATTTTCCACTGCTGCTACTTTGATATATGCTTTAACCAGATTTCATGAAGCATATAATGATGTGTTTTTGTTCGGTATAATTCGGTTCTTTAGTTGAACCCGTGATTTTATCGAATATATATAAACTTTTTAAAATATTTAAACTTTTAAGAGGTTACAAATATTATAAATATTTAAACTTTAAAAGTTTCAAATATTATAAATATTTAAGCTTTACAAGAGTTTAAAATATTAATAATATTTAAACTTAAAAAAGTTTAAAATATTAATAATATTTAAACTTAATAAAGTTTAAAATATTAATAATATTTAAACTTAATAAAAGTTTAAAATCTTAATAATATTTAAACTTTATGAAAAGTTTAAAATATTAATAATATTTAAACTCAATAAAGTTTTAAATATTAATAATAATAAAACTTTATGCAAAGTTGAACATATTAATAATATTTAAACTTTATAAACATTGAATTTTAATAATATTTAATCTCTATAAAAGTTTCAATCTTATTAATATTTAATGTTCATAAAAGTTTTAAAACAAAGATATACTATTAAGGGTTTATAAAAATTTAAAATATTACGAATAGTTAAACTCTATAAGAAAAAGAGAATATAATATGTCATATTTTTCTTCGTGATGCTATGTCATTTTTTCTTACACAGGTGCGTGCAATAGTTACTTCCGCAATGTTTGTTCTAAGTTAATTGTATTCTAAGTGAAATTTTACAATGATGTGTTTTTGTTCTAAGTTATATGCTTTGGGATGTGATTTTTAAAGTTCAAGGTACTTTTGCTCAACTTAATGATTTGTTCAGATCTTCATTTAGAAGGAATCATCTAATGAGTCCATGTAAAAGTTTTGAGAATCTAGAAGAAAAAAAAACATTCAACCGGAAACATTTGAATTATTATTAACAGATGGAAAGGTACTTCATTAACATAATAAAAATTAAGTCCGTGTATATAGTCTTTTTGTTTATTTGATTTTTTTTGTGTTAGTTAAAAAACAAATCATTGTGAGGATAAATGGTTTTCTTTTTTTTTCAAATGTTTATGTTCTCTGATTTACATGAAAGCATTACCTATATCTAATTACTTATATCTATGTCAATATAGGATCGAAGTCAAGGAAATTTTGAGTAACATGTAAACTAAATCGCAGAAGCTATAAAAGCCCTTCAAGTTTATATTATTAATGGAAGTTATATTTTGACACAACAAATGAGATTATCATACACAAGAAATAAAGTCAAAACTATGATTCATGGCTCCAAGGCATACAGAAGCTCCTCTCATTTGTGGCACTTGAAGTCCCAAACATAGCAGCAAACTCGCACGATACCAAGTGTAGAGTTGTTAGCAAGAGTTTCCATTGCCTGCTTGAGATCAGTGAAAGACAAGCTGGCCGTCTAAGAATATAGGCAATGCCTTTGATTGAGCTTTTTTCTTTTTATTTTTTTTTATTGGCATTGGTTGGAAATAACTTGTAAGAATGCTTTATTTGAATGTTTAGTAAGATTTTTTTTTTTTAAATCACTCTTAAAGAAAAGAAGGCTTTGATTTTAGGTTTGGTTTTTGAGAGATCATATTCGCATAATCTTTGTTTAATTAATATATTTTAAGAAACATTAGCCCTGAAAATATAATTATTACATATTCATTAAAATATGCTTCGTAAGGAAACAAAAATAAAAGATATCTCCCTAAATAATAGCACTTGCCATAACTACAATAACTAAACGGATCATGCGAATTTTAATTTGTTTTTGATAAAACGTAATTAATGTGGTTTTCAACTCTACAAATAAACTAATAATTACAATAATTATTACGAAAAATAGTTAACGAAATCTCCATTAACATTTACGAAAAAAATAGTTAAGAACATATCAATAAGACAATAAGTCAATAACTAAGCGTTTACATTTACTTTAAACGGGCCGTAAATTTCAATAACTTTAAATTGATTTTCTATTAAAATTCTAAATCAATGTATATCCAAAAACTACGTGAATTACTAAGATCTTAACCAAAAACAGCATATTCCTTAAAGTAATCTTAAGAAGAAAAAAATACACAATATTCGACTCTTACCCACGGGTAACAGAACTACACCTTTTACCCGACTCTAAGGTTTGGGGTACCTTTTTTCGAGACGGGTACGAGTCGGGTAACATTTATCACTATGTGTATGTCTATATTCCCGATAAAAGTAGGTGACATGCTATATACCCAGCTACATGTATTGACTATTTATTAGTAGTACATGTGTAAAAATAAAATCTATAACAGCATAATAATTTTATATTTCAAAACAGGGGAATTTATTACAAAAAAAAAAATTCATAAACATATACAACATATATTTCCAAAAATATTAAATTACAAACTTAGGCTTTCACTTTTACTATAAAATGCAAGAAAAATTCTAAAACACTAAAAAAAAGGGGGATTTATGTGTCATGTAGTAAAGCGGAAAACGGATCGGGTGACGTGACGGGTATTAAAGAAGAAAAATCTGATACAAATGTCTATGCCTATATCTACCCAATAAAAGTAGTTGTAGAAACTCGACCCTCTATCTGTATCGGACTATTTATTGATAATGTATGTGTAAAAATAAATTTCGTAACCGCATAGTAATTTCATATTCCAAACAGAATTATTTGTTTACAAAAAAAAAAAACAGAATTCATAAACACATACCACATGTTTTCAGAAAGTATAAAATTACAAACTTAGGCTTTAACTTTTACTATAAGATTTATTTATAAAATACAAGAAAAATTATAAAAGCCTAATAAAACAGTGATTTACGGGTCAGGTAACGTGACGGATATTAAAAATATATATATATATATATCCGATACTCGACCTTTACCTACGGATAACAGAATTAAACCCTTTAGCCGACTCTAAAGTTACCGGTATCTTTTTAACAAGACGGATACGAGTCAGGTAACATATCGAAGACGGGTAACATGTATCAGTGTGTATGTCTATATCTACCCGATAAAAGTAGTTATAGATACCCGACCCAATAAAATTATAAAATACTAATAAAGTGGGGATTTACGAAGTGTGTATTAAAGCGGGAAACGAATTGGATAACGTGACGGATATTAAAAAAAAAACACGATACTCGACCCTTACCCACATATAACAGTATTACACCTTTTACCCAACTTTAAGGTTAGTGGTATCCTTTTTCGTGACTGGTACGAGTCGGATAACAGTCGAATATGAGTAACATGTAGCATTATGTGTATGTCTAAATCTTCCCTATAAAAGTAGTTGACCTACTAGATACCCATATCTGACTATTATTGATAATGCATGTATAAAAATAAAATCTGTCACCGCATAATAATTTTAGATTAAGAAAAAAAAATTCATAAACATATCTAACATATATATTTCTAAAAATTATTAAATTAAAAACTTAGGCTTTAAATTTTATTAGAAGATAGATTTATAAAATACAA